GACAGCGCACACACACACACACACACACACACACACACACACACACACACACACACACACACACACACACACACACACACAAAGTGTTGGGCTTCATGGCACCAGTGACACAACAGTGACCAAGTCTGTCTTTTATATAAAGTTGGAAAAAGCACTTTGGTTTTCTGAGTTTGTGGAAGATAAAACTTTAGATTTTTATTTATTTTAGAAACTAGACTGGGGAAAAATAGGAGAAGGGGACTGAAATCATGAATGTTTTTCTAGACTTTAGTGTTTTTCCATATTAATCCAGACCTGGAAAGAACTAAAACCAAATCGTTTTAGGACTATGTGGGGACGCTGCTAAAACTCAGAAATCCAGGGAACAGCGTGAAACACAGAAAAATGTTTTCAAGGCCGTCCTCACCTTCAGCTGCTGCAGCTCCCCGTCGATGTCGACGTTTAGGTTTGGATACATCGTAAGGAAATGTTCTGCCAACACCCGGAACCTGCAGTCGGGACAGAGATTCAGAACTCACACCTGCTCAGATTCACCACCTTTAACTTTCACAAACAGAAGTAAAACACCAGGAGAGCTCTGATCTGTTTTACAGACGAGTGTCGCCCCCTGCTGGCAGCAGAAACACATTAACTCCAACCTCCAGACAGAAAGAAAACTGCTTTTAATAATAATGACTTGTTTTTAAAACTATTGTGCAAAATTATGACTAAACTACGTTTTTTTAAATGCATTTTAACAAAACTAAGAATATACATGTTCAAGAAGAGCTGTTCTTCACAGAATGACCAAAAAAATTTAAAACATTTTTACAAATGGGGGGTAAAAAATAAATAAATACAGTAAATGTCACATGAACCTTATTACTGGGTATTTTCTACAGGAATACAACCGTCCACTTTTCCATTACTTGTCATTTACATAAAATCTACAGTTATCTGTGAGCAGGAGCATCAGCAGCTAGCTGTAGCACTTCTGACAGGAACATACTGAATCTGCTACAATAACAGGAAGGTGAAAGAGTGATGTGAAGGGTTAAATCATAATTCTACTGTTAGGTGTGAAGACGAGGTCACTGTTTGGAAGTGGATCAGATGTTGTCAGCCTGCTGATACGATCCGAGTTGAGATGTTTTTAATCAACTTCAGTCTTTGAAGTGGTTCCTGTAAACACGCATATTTAAACGTTTAAACTCATTTTCTTGCAGGACTGACCCCAGGTTGCTCTGGAATTGCTTCCACGCACACGACACAAGCTCAGCTTCTCTGTTGCAGGTCCAAATGTGTGCAAAGACTAAGAGTCACCACTGCATGACATACTGGTTTTAAGTCTTGTTTAAAAACACTTATTCCCAGGCCTTCAAACCCAGAGTTATTTTTATATTTCTAGTCTTTTAGTGTTTATATCTGTGGATTTATGTATTATACGTCCTTTGCTTGTTGTTTTGTTGTACAGCACTTTGGCTGGCCTTGTTGTGTTTAAGTGCTTTATAAATAACGTGGTATAGTGTGGAAGAGCTACAGATAGCTGCTGCTGCAGCCATGTTCATCCCAATAATCCCAGTCTTCTGCGTGTAACCTGACCGTGATGTGAAGATTTAAAGTTTTCACATAAAACACAACTTTGGAAATTTGAGTCTTTTTCAGGTGGCAAACAAATCCACCTACAACAGGTAAGACATTGATGTTCCTAACCTTTCTACAGAACTCAACGTTAAAAGATTGATAGAAGCATGACACTCGCAGCTCTGTTTATTGTGCTCTGACTGTGACAAACACCGTTAACTGTTCATATAAACAGAGACGCAGTAAATAAAGATAACCTGAGCTGCTTACAAACCTCACAACGCTCATCACGTTCCCTGGTTTAGTTTTTATCCACAGCTGCGTGTCAGAACAAAGATGCTCCGGGAAAAAAATTGCTTTAACATCACAGTTCAGTGACACTTAAAAAAACATGTCAACAGCAGAGTGAAGCGCTGCTGTTTCAAAGTTGTTTTCTTGCTGCTTTAACTCGTAAAAAGGAACGACTGGTCACTTTACTAAAACAAATTCCTAAAACGACACTTCTGAGCATTTTTACTTTCACAAAGTCTATCCAAACATTGATTTAAGAATCATATCAGCATCTCGTGACGGATAAGAGCGACCTGGTTCACAGAGGAAGGAAGGAAAAAAACAAACTTTAAATGAACTCACTTGTCCTCGAAAACCTTGAAATCGGAGACGAGGTCACAGACGCGCAGACCGTTGCGAGCAGCTTTGGACGAGTAGGCAGGACCGATACCTTTCTTAGTGGTTCCCAAACTGGAAAACAAACAAACCTTTTTTTAAATTTAAACAACTTTATAAACACTAAACCCACTGCTGCTCTTGAATATCACTGAAGCAGAAGCGGTTCGTGGATAAAAGCTGTACTTTTTGCCTTCCTGCTGCTGCCTCTGCTGCTCCTGGATTCCATCAACAGCTTGATGGAAGTTGAACACTGGCGGAGGACAGAGCAAACCATGAACACAAAGAACTCCTTTAAATGAATAAAACAAGAAGCAAACGCACCGATGTGGGCCCGGTCAGAAATCTTTAACCTCTGCTCCCATCCTTGTAGCCCTGCGGTAAATAAAACAAAACTTCTCTGTGATGTTTTGTTTCTGCTAATGCACATTTTCATTACTTCTATGACTTCAACATGATTAATACGTTTTATAAACAGGTTTATAAATAGATTTCTGCCCAAAAACGGCAAAAAAAAAAACATGACATTTTACCTTTTCCTTTATGCAAGTTTTTCTCAGCCTCTTCAAACAGACCTGGTAGGTGGATCACAACTCCATTACCTGCAATAAGAAATTATACTGTTAACAATAAATTAATTAAATTCATTGAAGGAATATCACCTGCTTTAAAATAAGTACGAAGAGACAAGACAGTTTCAGCCGCTTTGGTTCAACCTCATTTGTTGTTAGCTCTTAGAATATGTGTTGAGGATGACTATCAGCTACCACCACATCAAACGAGAGGTAAACATCTGTAAAACTAAGTGCGAGCCATATTCGTGTTGACTAATGTCGTCATTAGGCTTCGGCAGCCATCTTTACCTGGGTTAACTCTAAAGGCACAAATAGAAGCACATCCACTGATTACTTTTCTGCGAGGTTTGTTCATTTCCAGCCAGTCGGTTAGTTTGCCAACACGTCGAGACACGAACAGATGCACCTTTCACCTTTGAGTGATAATTAAGGAAACCACTCAAATATGTGCAACCTGCTGATGTTTCAACAGGACTGCTGTGCTTTCTCGTGTTCGTTAAACTGAAAACAGCTGAACGCCACAACGGTCAGTAGTCCTCTGCGAAGTGGACTCCATTTATTGAGTCCACTTCGCTCAAACTGGGTCAGCGTGGCGGCTGCAGTTCTCTGCTAAACCCAACAGACCGTGCGCTACAGATTTACGATCTGTTCCTTCACAACCGGACCGTTGGAGCTGCCTGCGGTGCTTCTGATGTGCACGCCCGTGTTTTTATTGCTTCGTTATGATCTTGGCTCGCACTGCTCTCTCTTTGTCTGGAAAGTCAAAAGCCTTGTGTACCGATGAAGGAGAGGGCCTTCTTGTTGAGCACTCCGCTGGGCAGCAGGTGGAAGTCGTACTCCACAGAGTCCACCACCACAGTGTGTCCTGCATTGTTTCCTCCCTGCAGAAAGCACAAAACACTTTGAACTGGTTTACAAAGAGACAAGGCTCAGTGGCGTGCTCTTTCACAAAGGATTTGTACAGACCGGCTTTCCAGCTGTGTTTTCAAGAGAAACAAGACGACATGAGATCTTATCTACATGTCACAGAGACAGATGTGAAGACAGGACAGCTGGATGATCAGCCACACACGTCGATGGTTTGCACAACTCTACATCATTATTCATTAGTTATCATTATCATTATTAGTGTGGAGGTTTCACTTCACTATGTCTGTCACTGAAACCCCCCCAAAACACGAGGAATCGTTGCTAACGTGACTTTAGCTCCTCCACATCCGGGAGGTCAGAGGAGGTTGTCGGAACAAGTCGTGACCGTGGATCCCAAACATGACACCGTTCGTTTGAAGAAAACACACTCGGTGCTGACGAGAACAAAAGGTGAGCTTGAAGCGGCAGCGCGTACCTGACACCTGCAAACAATGTCCGCATCCATGGCGAGCAGGTCGACCACTTTTCCTTTGCCCTCGTCGCCCCACTGAGCTCCGAGCACCACGGTCACTTTGTTCTGGGGCTCCTTCGGGGTGCGAAGCGACGAGTCCGGCTGGACGCTCTCCCTCGGCCGTTTGACGACCGGCTCCCCGTTCAGGGCGACGGACTGCTGTCCGTTAAGGTTAGCCATGTTGCTGTCGGATGCCATGCTGCCGTTCTCGCGGTGAATATCGTTTTACCGCGTTCTCCCGGCTCTGAGGGGGAAGTGTTGTCTTCCGGTGCGCCGCAAGATGGCGGTGTCTCCTGTGATACACCGCGAGACTGACCGTTACTTGTGTTGTCCTTTTTAAAAGTTATAGTCGACGCCTAATTTAAAGAAAATGACACTTGGATTGCAATATACGTTATGTTAAAGACACTCTTTTCAAATGTTCGCACGAGCCGCGAAGGGCTCTTGAACGTTATATGAGTCAGTCAACGGGACTTCCGGGTTTGGTGATGGGAATTTTATCTCGTTTCCGGGATTCGAATATTTTGACTCAATTCACCAAAAAGAGCCGACTCAATAATCAAGCCCAAAAAAAAAAAAGAAAAAGAGCGGACTCTTTTAGCTCCCAAAAGGTTTTTCCTTTATGTCCTGATGCATGCTCAGTTATCCAGGTAGATTCAATTCAAAAATACTTTATTAATCCCAGAGGGAAATTATTTGTTGTAGTAACTTGTTGTCCTCATTTCATTAAGAGATGTTATAGATACTGATGGCTGTAGACAGGAAGGATCTCTTGTAAAGGTCCATCCCACAGTGGATCCTAAAAAATTGGCTGCAGATGCCGTGCGATCCGTCCACCCAGACTGCTGGCCTCTCGGTTCCCCCGGGCTGTAGGACCACCCGAATGCCGGGCAGAACTCCTCCCAGTGCGATGGCCACTCCTCCCAGCAGTCTGCCGAGCTCCTCGTCGCTGCGGGCAACCAACTGTAGGTGCTGAGGGACGATCCTATCCTTCCACTGTCGTGATCCGTGTTTCCTGCTAGTTCCAGGATCTCAGTGGTCAGGCACTCAAGCACAGCTGGCAAGTAGATGAGAATGCATCCATAGAACATCCTTTTCAACTCATTTGAGATGTGGGGCTGTAGTTGAGATATTATTTGAGCTTTTGAGATGTTAATCAGCTGCTGCTTGTAGAAAACTGCCTTGTTACCATGGTTACGCATCATAACAAATGTCCAAAACTAAAAAAGTTTCAGTAAAAATCCTTCCAGCTGCACAACATCTGATACCAGAGGAAACAATCATCCAAAAAATGTGATCTACATCCAGCAAAAGAGGAGTTAAAGTTTCCAAAAGCAAAATCTCAGAATGAAAGTAACAAAACTGCTCCAACATGCAGCCACCTTGAGCGGCGCAATCAGGATCAAGATCAGGGCTGTCCAAATGTTTTCATGTGTGGGCCAAAACAATCAAGATGAAAGGACTCGTGGTCTACAAAAATATGAATTTAACTCACAATGTGAAAAATATTTTGGAGAAAGGACAAAAGTTTACTGATTTTAGTGGAGAAATTGTTTTAAATTGTTGAAGATCCGGGCAGCACGGTGGCGCAACTGGTAGAGCTCTCAGCGCGCAGGTCTCTGGTTCAAACCCCGGTCCTGGGGCCTTTCTGGGTGGAGTTTGCATGTTCTCTCCGTGCATGCGTGGGTTTACTCCGAGCACTCCAGTTTCCTCCCACAGACCAAAAACATGCATGTTAGGCTGATTGGTAACTCTAAATTGTCCCTAGGTGTGAGTGAGAGAGTGAATGGTTGTTTGTCTCTATGTGTCCCTGTGATGGACTTGCGACCTGTCCAGGGTGTACCCCGCCCCTGGCACAATGATTGCCGGACATGGGCACCGGCGATCCTTGTGACCCAAAATGGAAGAAGCGGGTAAAAGATAATTGATGGATGGATATTGTAGATCCAAAATATTAAAAGCCTCATAATCACTTTGTTTTTTATTTATTAAAAAGGATTTGATTTATTTGATTTGATGGGTGAGGGCAGCACGGTGGCGCAACTGGTAGAGCTGCTGCCTCTCAGCGAGCAGGTCCCTGGTTCAAACCCCGGTCCAGGGGCCTTTCTGGGTGGAGTTTGCATGTTCTCTCCGTGCATGCGTGGGTTTTCTCCGGGTACTCCGGTTTCCTCCCACAGACCAAAAACATGCATGTTAGGCTGATTGGTAACTCTAAATTGTCCCTAGGTGTGAGTGAGAGAGTGAATGGTTGTTTGTCTCGTTTGTCTCTATGTGTCCCTGTGATGGACTGGAGACCTATCCAGGGTGTACCCCGCCCCTCGCACAGTGATTGCTGGACATGGGCACCGGCGACCCCCGTGACCCAAAATGGAATAAGCGGGTAAAGTTAATGGATGGATGGATGGATGGATGGATGGATGAATGGATTTGATGGGTTTATGTTTGTTTTTTGCTTGTGTTTGGAAAGTTCATTTTAGTCTGTTCTCAGCTTCAAAAGTGTAAATTGAGTAACTGTCCTTTTAAACAGGGATCAATCTGCCTTATGGACCATGTACGGCCCAAAAGGCTGATCGAAGTTCTGAAACATCGTCCAGCTGTCAGTCGCTACAACAGATTCAAAGAATGTTTGATAAAGTTGATCAACTCGTATGTAGATGATACCAAGTTATATTTTACATTTATAAATGTCCACTTACCCTCTTTATTATTATATCAACTGCAATATTTAGCCAACTTTAATGAATCATTATCCAAAAGTTTCCTTTCTGGTAGAGATCAGTAAAGGTTTTTGGTGCTTTGTACCATGAAGTGAAAATAAAAATATTATTGCCAAAAGTTTGTATTTGGTTTAATATTGCTCATTTTGAGAATATTGTTTTTCATCTGTTTTGCTGATAAACCTAAACATTATATTAAAAAAAAAGAGGATTACCAACTAATTTGCAAAAAGTCTGCATCGACCTGTTAAGCCTGCTGGCCAAAATGATACCATTCTTAAACTGCAGTTGTGGACCACACTAAATCACTCCAAGGGCCGCAAATGGCCCTCGGGCCACACTTTGGGCGTGAGAGGTAGATAAATCTAACAATGTTGAGTCAGGACTATGGATTCTTTGTTGTTGAAACGTTTCGTCAGAAGTTTTTTGGATAAAAGATGAAACGTTTCAACAAAGAAGAATCCGTCCAGAAGACCTGACTCAACTTTGTTAGGTATTTCCTTTAGTTGTTTTCTTTTGGCTGCTCCTTTCTGCAGGACTCAATTGTTTTATGTGGAATGTCCTTGATGCAAACTAGGCTAAAATCTGAAGCCTCAGGATTACTACGGCACTGACCACTTATAATCTTAATCTTACTTATATTGTATATTAATGTCAGGTTTATACATTTCATTAGAATGTGTCCATACATGCATAGAAAACAAAAGGGCATTGGCAGTTGGTGGCACGGAGAGGCAGCAGCCTTGAAAAAATATCTTTCCACCTCAGTACCACTTTATTTGTTGGCTATAGTTAATATATGTTTGTACAATAACCACAAAACTTTAATCTATACCCTAACTCCATGATTTAGAGTTCACACACACACCCCTTTTTGAATTTCATAACAATATTACCTGCCAGCAGGACCTGGAAATTTCACTTGCAGAGCCAGTTTCACAGATTATAAATAATAATTAAAGCTGCAAGCAGCATTGAAGACCCTCGCAGCAAAGCGCCACTCCGGCCTTACGACGACCGCGGGAGCTCCAGCGACTCCGCCCAGTCGCCATCGCAAATGCTCTCGCGCCCGTCCCGCGCCCGTTCACCGGGGTGTGCATTCGCCGACCTTCGACATCACCTGCGACCGCGGGTGCTCCAGCAACACCTCCCAGTCACCATCACGAACGCTGTCATGCCATTCCCGCACGCGTCTACCAGGGTGTGCATATGCCTAAACTTTGCTATCGCCTTCCTCCCATATCAATATGAGAGGGGGCGCACTTGAGTCATATGTTAAACCACAATTTCAATGTGTTTAGACGTGGTCACCTATTATGCACCAATAATCTGGTTCCGATCGGATGATAATTCACTGAGATATAACTGTTGGAATAATCTAGGGCGTGCACTTGAGTCAAAAGTTAAACAACAATACAAATGTGTCTAGAAGTGCTCACTAATGACGCACTCAAAATGTGGTGCAGATCGGATGATATATCACTAAGATATAACTTTTAGAATAATCTAGGGGGTGCTCAGGAGTAAAATATTTAACAACAATCCCAATGTGTCTAGAATAGTTCACTGATCACGCACAATAAATCTGGTACAGATTGGACGATATATAACTGAGATATTACTGATGGAATAATGTAGGGGGCACAATGGAGTCCAATGTTAAAGAACAATACCATTGTGTCTAGAAGTGGTAAGTGATCATCCACAATAAATTTGGTACATATTGGATGATATATCACTGAGATATAACCGATTAAATAATCTAGGGGGAGCACTTGAGTCAGATGTTAAACCACAATATCAATGTGTCTAGAAGTGTTCACTGATCACGCACAATAAATCTGGTTCAGATCGGATGATGTATCACTGAGCCATAACTGTAGGAATAATGTAGGTGGCGCTGTGGAGACTATTGGCCACTTATCATGGATACCTGTTCAAGGGGTGGATAATGATTGATCATAGTGATTTTGGTGCGCCTCGGCTGAAATCTGTGTATTTTAGAGCCAAACGTATTGCAACGGCGTCACTTCTTGATTCACCACGCCACCAAGCCCACATCCTCCAGCAAAAACGGTTTGCACTTTAAATCAAGTCAGACCATCTTATCTGTCTTCTAACACAGGATCATCCTGATTAGGTCAATGGTGTCCTGTTCTGAGGGGGCGGGGCTTTGATGACATCATAATATGACGACAGTGGATCATCGGACATCCAACAGGGATGAGTCATGCCAAGTTTGGTGTATTTCGGTCTTTCAGTGTGAAAGTTTGCACATTTGGAAATTTGCGTTTGGAAATTTATGGCGTGAAGTGAAATTTTGAGACCTGGCCATGCCCCTTTAACCTAAACGAAACTGAAAGCTTTTGATAACTTTTACTCCCCAATGTGTTAAGGGCATATTAACCAAGTATGAAGGCAATCACTCAAAATCCCTAGGAGGAGTTAGTTAAAATTCGCCATTAGAAACGCCCCAAAATGACCATTTGACCCAAA